CTTCTTTCACTCATGACTGCTGTTCTGTGCCAGCTATAGTGGCTCTCAACACTCAATTGAAGGGGACAAATAAGCAGGTTGGTAACAGGGCCTGAATGAGGGAAGATATCCGCGTCTTAAGGGCCTAACTGGCTCCTACTACTTCCGTTGATTGACTGTTCTCCTCAAATGGGTTCAGGGAAGCAATAGGAAACAAGAAGCTCCCTGAGAAGCTGGTGTTAATCAGTCCAGGCTCCTGGGGGTGCTAGAGAAATACATAAGAGGCTCCACCTCCTCTCTCCCCCTGCAGCTTTCTGTTATTCCCTCTCACCTTTTCTCCTGCATGCCTGTTATGTCTCTTGTGCCCTCCTTCCTCCAGCACAGCACTCCACCATCTCTGGGCATCTACAGCTGAGAGAATACAAATACACCAGCAACAGACACCATTTTCTACACTTTGGGTCCTAGTGGCGCCCCTCCACAGTCTGACACCTGAGGCGGCCACCTCAGTTCGCCTCATGGTAAGGCTAGCCCAGAGCTTCAGGATTAAAACTTTATTGTAGCAAAAATTCCACATATAAATAACTGCACAAGCTGCAAGGCTGTGGAGAATCAGTCTCTGTATCTCCAGTCTCCACCAATATATCAATGGTTCCTTCTCAAATAATATTTGGAAAGTGTGCCTTGGATTTACATTTTAGTGTTATCCTGGATTATAAACGCTCCAGTTTCCTCTTTTGAAATGTTGGACCTTGTCTGGTGAATGTTAGTTCATGTGGAAATGAGGGACTCTCATCTCTGACTAAAGCCAAGGAGGGTGGGCAGCCATGGCAGAGTGTTCCCATACACCTGAGTCCTGTATGGCAACACCACAGGTATTCTAATCCCAAATTAACAACTGGCAGCTCTGCCATATTTTGCCATTGTTTTGAAACATGAAGAAACACACTAAGGCTGAGGCCACAGAAAACTAATTTCTCTTGGAAGAACTGGCTGGGTTATATGCTATGCTACAAGCACACAGCACAGCATATAGACCTGGTCCTCATTGCATCAGCCACACTATCTAGTTACTTATACTGTGTTTATTCCTGTGGTTAGAGCAGGGCTGCCCGGGGGAGGGGGGCAAGTGGGGCAATTTGCCCCAGAGCTCTGGGCCCTGCAGGGGCCCCCACGAGAGTTTTCGGCGGGTCTTCGGCGGCAGGTCCTTCAGTGCCGCCGAACACACCCGGAGCAAGTGAAGGACCCCCTGCCAAAGACCCGGAGCTTCTTCTGCGCCAGGTCTTCGGCAGCAGGGGCTCCTTCCGCTCTGGGTCTTCGGCGGCAGTTTGGTGGCGGATCCCGGAGCGAGTGAAGGACCACCGCCGCTGAAGACCCCAGACCCGCTGAATCCTCTGGGGGGCCCTGTATTAGAGCACCTAGGCTGGACCAGTCTACCTCTTATTTCTCTTTTGATTTAATCACCTTCAAAACCTGATGTCAAGAAATGAAATACTAAGGGCAAAACTCAATTTAGCTCTTCATGCTAAAAATTTCAAGTTAATATTCATTTAACTTTATTCTCACATTTTATTTCCTAGATTTAGACTGTCCGAGATAATGCACTGATTCAGCGGAGCAAGCATAAGGACAACCAGTTTGGCCATAAGCAGTCCAGTATGTTTTTTATTAAACCAGTTACACAGACATTACAAATGTCAAGTGTAAATCCCCCACAGTAGCTTAATTGAACTGCAGAGAGGCTTTCTACGGTCCTTGCCCTCCAGTACCAATTGCTGTACAGTACGAAAGGTAAATAGGAGGAAGGGATTGCTGTAAACAAAACAAAAAACAAAATAGTGGCCAACAATGTAGAATGATGAACTTGGAGGGATGGGGAATAGAAAAGGACAGTGGCAAACTCTGGGCAGTAAAGAGTTAGGAATATATTCAGGAGCATGTTTTCAGAATGACACAGATGAATTAGCTAGCAAGTGTGCTGCTAACAGCAAGTCAGGAGAACGGTCGTAGAATCAGGGGAAGAAACTTCCCTAAACTTCTGTTCAGAAACCCCTTAAACAAGCAGGTATTATCAGCTTGAAACTATGCAGTAATTGATAGCCATAAAAATAGTAAAATGTGTGCAATGAAATTCAAGAGATATTCTGTTTCACTTGCATTGCAGATTAGGAGGGCGCATTCAACAGCAGATTACAACAGAGCAAGGAAGATTACAGAAGCTTCCAAGATAAATGAGACTGTATTAGAAACAATCATATTTATATTTTTTTCCTGAAAACCAAATTTTGTTTCCTTTTTCAGCTTTATGTAATATACAAAAGCAACTCCGTTTGAGGAAAAAAGCTTCAGTCCTTATTTACTAAGGCACTGCAGGATCTCAGATCCAAGCATAATGTTTTATAGCACACCATATGATGCAGTGCCTATGTAGTTTGGTGTGAATTATGGGGAAAGCATTTGAGAGTCTACAGTATGAAGATATCAATAACGAGATGGTAGAGGTCATACTATACATAATCTGGAGTGACTTGATGTTAGCAAGGTATATTTTGAGGAGCAATCTGAAGCACAAAGAATACTTGATAAAGCAAGGTGGTATTCATGTATCTTCCCATTATTTTGGGATTACTTTCTTGCTATAAGCATATGGTATAACCTAAACTGTGATGGTACAATGGTTTGTACTCAAAATTTAAAAATATAGGCTGGGATTTTCAAAGGGCCCTACGGGCACTACAGTGACATGGGATTTGGGAGCCTAATTCTCTTAAGCACTTTTTAAAAAAAATACTGAATTATTTGCAACTTGCCTGGTTAAAAAAAAAATACATACACATGCACCCCTCCCTCTCCCTCAAAGGGCATCAGTCCAAGTCACGCTAAGCAACAAATGGCAGCCAAATTTCCCTTATGAATTATGACAAGTTTTGCCTCTTGATTCGTTTTGGGGAAAGCTACACATTTTTCCAAAGTGGGGTTTGTCACAGATCCGCTGCAAGGCCCTCAAGTACAGGGGTGTCTTAGTGCTACTGAAGGGTATTTGAACACTGTATCCTGGGAGGCATCATATGTCAAGGCAAATTTATGCACTGCCACTAAAATGTAGGATATGGAGCAAGTCCACTGTTGGTGGTGTTCTGCACAGGCTTAAAAAGGACATATGTCCTGAATGATCTGGAAGACTAGAGTCATGGGTGTGACTGAATCATATCTGAAGAAATCCTGAATCAGCACAGCAACAGCTGTTTATTACTTTATGTTCACCATGAGTACTTTTATATGTTAAGAAAAACGGTGTCACCTGTTAGCCAAAAACTCACCCAGTATGAGCTTCAGGTGGGAATGAGAGTAAAATATTGATGTAACAGATTGTGGTAAAAATAAATTTTCTAAAATAAATACAGAGCTATAAATAAAGAATAACTGAGCCTATTTTTTCAACATCCAGAGGTGTGCTATGTGTTTATTCCACATTGATGGATAAATACCCTCTGTGACTGAATAGTAAAGATGTCTCCCTGTTTATGAAACTCCATGGACTAATTTTATTCTTTGGCTAACTCTACAGAGCCAGTAGAGTTGTATCAGGAATTAATTTGGCCCTATATCTTCAACCACTCTCTATTTGGGAAACTTTTGCCTGACCTTCAGTGCAATGCTAAAAACAGATCTTGTCTGTCATCAAGAGCCAGTGAGATGTTAAATAAAACAGAAGTCATAGCTCCTGCAATGAAATTCCAGGGGTGCCCATCGAAGATCTGCCAACAATAGCAGCATCCTCTAACTTACTGGAGTCAATATTTTTGTACCTTGATAAAAGAAAAAGAGGAGAGTATATCAAGTTCTGTGCGAGGGCTGTGACATTTCTGACATGGCATGCCAGGAAGAGGGCCAGCTCCAGGCATCAGTGAAGGAAGCAGGTGCTTGGGGTGGCCAACGGAAAGAGGCGGCATGTCTGGGTCTTCGGCAGCAGGTCCCTCAGTCCCTCTCTTCCTCTTTTTTGGGCTGACACCGAAATGCCACTGAAGAGGAAGAGAGGGAGCGAAGGACCTGCTGCCGAACTGCCACAGAAGAATGAAATGGTACGATTGAGCTGCCGCCGATCAGCTTTATCTTTTTTTTTTGTCCCCCGCTTCACCACCTGGGGCAGCAAAAAAGCTGGAGCCAGCCCTGGTCAGGAAGTTTTAGGGCCCAATCCAAAACCGTATAAAGCCAATGGGAGTTGAGATGTTGTGCGGTCTATATGGTTTTATAAAAACATGATAACAAGTGAATATAATGCAACTGGGATATGCTTCATGCAACAGGTCTCTTGTAAGGTATCATTACAAAGCTTATAATCTACTGAGTGAGATCATCCTAGTTGTAGAAATGTATCACTCTTGTATCTAAAACTAGAAATATAAAATATAACTCTGAGGGCCTATTGTAATTATGTAAAGTGTGGGCCATTAATGATGGTTTGGAATCTTGATGACTCCCATTAACAAGGACCATTGTCTGCAGATGGCTATGTTTACCCGTTAGTCTTCCTGTATGTGTGTGTGCTGGCAAGTGGGCAATGAAGTCTTGC